TTTATATGCATTATAGTACCATCATATTACAATGTAACCGAAGATACGTAGTATAACAAGTTTAAGTCCAATCGAACGCCAGGAAATGGTATCGTAATATGGTACTATAATCTACTACTATACTATATAATATATACTATATAATATTTATTACTACTTACTATATAATATCGTAATATGGTACCTCTTATTATGCTCCATGGTACCATAATATTACAATATCACCGAAGATACGTAGTATCCCAAATTTAAGCCCAATCGAACGCCATGTACATAATATGGTACTATATTATGGTACCAGATGATATGCATCATAGTACCATGATATTACAATGTCACCGAAAATACGTAGTATACCAAGTTTAAGCCCTATTGCCGCCATGTACCTAATATTTCTATGTCATCAAATATGGTACTATAGAAGGTACCACTTTATATGCTCCATGGTACCATGATATTACAATGTCACTGAAGATATAGTATACCAAGTTTAAGCCCAATCGAACGCCATGTATCGTAATATAGTACTATATTATGGTATCACTTGATATGCTTCTGAAAAAAAACGGCGTCCAGTTGGCTGGAAAAGGACGATCGATGACATTTCCCAAATAAATTTAAATATAAAATGACAGTGATATTCATTTCATAGCTATCGCTAACGCCGTTTTTTCCCGATTATACAATATGAACTTGGTATGAACACAATCGAACGTCAGGAAGTAGTATCATAATAGTAGAACAATACTTATTATATTGTCGCCGAATTACAATGAAAATTCAGGATTCAATTATACAATCAAACGTCAGGAAGTGATTGTAATTTAGCTCATAAGATTTCATTCCAACTAACATGGCAAACTGAAAAAAACAGCTCTGATCTATTTTAATATGTTTAAATGATGTAGCAAATTTGAAAGTAGGCTTTATCAGGAAGTATTACGATATGAATTACACAATGGCAACACTGCACAAAATTCTTTTAAATTTTGTTTGTAGAAAACTGTTTTCTTTTAAATTTATTGCCCTCTATTATGTAGTAGCGAAACTAGCACATCAAAATATCTGATTTGGAGACAGACTTTTAAAGCCTGTCTCCTTTTGCTACCTACAATTTTATACATGTAACGAGGCTTCTGTTGCGTAGCTAGATATTCTGTGCCCGGATCTAAGGGGGGACAAACCGGAGCACCTGCCCCGGGCGCCAGTATCAGGGGGCGCCAAAATCATAATATAATACCACAGAATATCTAGCTACGCAAATAATATGGTTGAAAATAATAAAAAAACTCCACAAAGCGCCTAGTATGCACCTTACGTTCTTCTATCAAGTATTCATTTTATTTTAAAACGCCTAGTTAGTATTTAAACACATTCTAAAGTTTCATTTAGAACCTCGCAATTAGTGTAATAAATTAGCGGTTTCAATAATTACACTTTTTACTTTTTAATTTACGATCATTCACAATGTTTAAAAAACACAATTAAAATTAATAGAATATCCTAGCAACAGCTTGCGGTAGTCAGTTGTATCCATAAAGAAAGCCAAATATTTAGCTTATAAAACAATAAACTTTTGATTTCTAACCACGATTTCTCTTGACGGATGCTAATCAATGGCCAAAATGACATTTCCCGCAAAATTTGAAGTATATTTAGTGGAAAACTTAAAAGTTTGTTTACTTTTTCTACTAATTGAAAATGACTACCAATAACTTAGACGTTCTGAATGCTTACATTGAAATTAAAGGAACAAACTTCTACGCTAATTGAAACCACTAAGTTATTCCACTAATTCGGAGGTTCTGAATGAAGCTTAAGAGCTAATTCTGCCCCGTTTACGAAAAATGCTTACCTATATCTAGATATTTGTAAGTTTTTTAAATTAATTTATTGCAAACGCTGGTGAGAGGGGGCGCTACAATCAATTTTTTGCCCCGGTTCAAAAAAATTGTAGATCCGGAGCTGTTGAAATTAATAAGGAATACCCTGTATAGTGTATTTATTTTTATTGGTAGATATACTTATTATCATAATATATTATTTACTTATCATATAGACATAATAATTGACTTTTAAAAGGCTTAAATAACAAGTTTTCGCAATACCTTGATTGAAAATATGGGATATATTATGCGTTCTCTACGTTGGTATAAAAATATATGGATTCGATCAAATATATGGTTAATTATTTTTATTCTTTTTAATATACTCACTTGATATTAGAATACAAAACACAATATAGCTGGTGTGAATAATATCAATGAATGCTAAAAATTCAGTGGCCAAAATTATTTGCTTATAATGAGTGAACCAGCAAAAGATCACATATCAACTTTTTTTGAAAAACGGTCTACAATATATTAATAAGTAGATTTAGGGTATACATATACCTAGATGCCACTAGTAAACTGAGATTTGTAGATTGAATACTTATTATAGCCTTATTTGCAATTAATAATGGAGAGAAAGACCAAACCGAAAATCTACATAAATACAGAGGGTGGCGCACCTCATTCGCTTCGGTTATACGAAAACGGAAAGATGTAGAAACAAAATATTTTATGGATATGTGTGGGAAGCCAATGTGCGTAATTTAAAATTATTTTGAAATGTACAGGGTGTGTCAGAACTAAGATCCATTCCAAAGTTATATTTTTTTCTTATGGAACACTCGGTATTTTATTCCATTTTTGGATTCTTTGGCATAAAATAAGACTTTTATTATAAGGGTTTAATATGTCTAATATCTTTGGTTTTTGAGATATTCAAAGATATTTAAATATGCATGCTATAATATAAAAGTTTGTCAACACCTAGTACATTACTTTTCAGAATTAATTCTTGTGCTGACTTTCAAGTCAGAGAAATAAACTTTACAAAAAAATGTGATTGCTTCCTTAAATGTAGGTATACAGGGGTATCAAAAATTGCTGGTCTATTTTAAATATTTATTTTACATAAAAACTTCGTTATTTCAAATGCAACACCCTCTATTTTTTTTAATAAATCGAAGCAGATTTAAATGCTCTTTCAAACTATATTAGGGTTTCCTATAATTATCCCCAGATTTTGAATAAAAAGCAATTTTTCAAAAAAATTGTAATCAAGATGGCTGTTCTCGCCATGGCAAGTTTCTAGTGACACTTAGTAGCTATTTTCAAAATTGACTTTAGTTATGGACTTTATTTAAATTTATAACAGGTTATTTTTATTTAATTTACCTACAATAAGGTTAATATAAGTAATTATTTATTATTTTATCAAGAACAATGAAGTAGTATCTGCTGGCGGAAGGAATGGATATGTTACTAGTGATTTTATTTTGTGAGGACAATTGCCTGTTGGCCTGAAGAGTTTATGCTCACAGATATCCAAAAAGGAATTTTCTTGACAAGCGTTTCTTTGAAAAACTACTTTTCCTATTTCACAGAGCTGATAGTGTGGTATATGAAAAACCTATTAGGCAGAAACCTGTCGTTGGCAGTGAAAAAAATGAATTTGCCGTAATCGGTTCTTTTATAGAAAATCCAATATGTAATTATTTTGATTTACCATGAATTGAGTTTACCATGAGTGATCGTAATATATAAATCAAAAAACTACTTCTTTATTATTCTGATAAAATAATAAATACTTACTTATTAAACTATGGTAGGTAAGTTAAATAAAAGTAAACTGTTATAAATTTAAATAAAGTCAATAAACTAATGTCGATTTTGAAAATAGCTAACTGTCACTAGCAAATTGCCATGGCGAGACCAGGCATCTTGATTGCAATTTTATTGAAAAATCGCTTTTTATTGAAAATCTGAGCCAGATAGGTATAGGAAACCCTAATATAGTTTGAAAGAGCATTTAAATTTGCTTCGACTTATTTTAAAAAATACATAGTGTTATATTTGAAATAACGAAGTTTTTATGTATAATAAATATTTAAAACAGACCAGCAATTTTTGATACTCCTGTATACATTTAAGGAAGCAAACAAATTTTTTGGTAAAGTTTATTTCTCTGGCTTGAAAGTCAGCACAAGAATTAATTCTGAAAAGTAATGTACAAAGGGTTGACAAACTTTCTTATAATAGCATGCATATTTGAATATCTTTAAAATATCTCAAAAACCAAAGCTTTTAGACATATTAACCCTTATAATAAATGCCTTATTTTATGCCCAAGAATCAAAAAATGAAATACAATACCAAGTGTTCCATAAGAAACAGTATAACTTTGGTATGAATCTTAGTTCTGACACACCCTGTACATTTAAAAATAATTTTAAATTAATCGCATTGTCTCTTTACATATACCCATAAAAAATTTTGTTTCTACATCTTTCCGTTTTCGTATAATCAATCGAGGCGAATGAGGTGCGCCACCCTGTATATAAAATGCTAATGTTTATCTGTGTCGTCTCTACTGAAGTAACGACTTGCTCTAGAAAGTTGCTTTTTAACTATAAGATAGCTAATTGGCTCTTCTAAAAACTGTCGCCGGATTTTTTGTTTTTCGTTTAATTAAAAAAAAGTATTTTTTCCTGATGTCGGTCGTGGCGGATGCGCCAGGCTTCAACTAGTACCTATAAAAAGTTAACAAATATTAAAAAAGAATCACTTGATTTTTTTCTGCAATTATTCATTGACACCCTGTATAAATATCAGAATATATTACTGATAAACTATGTATATGCCAGGCTTACATTTTAACACATTCCTATCAAAAAGTGATAAAAAGCACTGTTCAAAATAAATTCAATGGTAAATAAGCTCTAATAAAAATAAGCCACATATTCTAAATTTAAACTAGAACAAGTAAAGCTATTATATTTGGTTTGAGAAATTAAGAAACAATGTAGAAGTGATTGATTAATAATTTAATTTACACATACATTAATGTCATGATGGAAGTAAGATTTTTTTACATTGTAATTTATAAAAGCATAGTATTAATTGAAAAATTCACATTACAAAAATAAGTTCACTAGATTATTATTGTTTCAGAGCGAAATGGCTGGAAACCAACATGTACAAGATGTTATAGATCAGCAAAATTTGCAAATTAAGTTGATTGAAAAAAACTGCATAAACCAATATGGGCAAAATCTGAAGAGTAACACACCAATTTTCAATAAAACTTTAAACAGTAAGTACCTAGTTGATCTAAAAAATAAGCTAATACTAATATGTTAAAAATACTAACATAATTAAATTTTAACACTTCCATTTTGAAACTTTAGGTATAATGTGCCCCCCATTCTTTGATAATATATATTGCTGGCCACCTCAGTTGCCAAATACTACTACTTATATTCCATGCCCTTCATATGTTGTTGGATTCAAACAGGTAAAAATGTACAATCACTATTATTCAAACATAATGTCTTAATGCCTAACTAATGGTTTTATCCTTATATTAGTGTATAGTTTAATAAAATAACAAAAATAACTTATTTACAAATTTATTATCTTACTTAAAATATAAATAAAACATCCCAATCATTCATTCATCATCGGTTTCCATTTCTTCATCTTCTGCACTCGATAATTTTTCAAATCCTTCTCCTTTAGACCACCTGGCTTTTAAAATTAACTTAAATGTTGCTAATCTATATTCTAACAATTCTAAAATTTTAGCCTGCTCAGGAGTTAATATACTACCATCTTTACATACTTCAAAGTCCTTAATCAATGTAACAACTCCTAAAAAAATATAATATTGACTTAAATAAATTCATTAAAATGTACATTAAAATAGGAAGTATTAATGAAAATAATACAAACCTCTATCTAATTTTGTAGGCATGCCCAGTTGCCTCAGATATGGCTCTATAGAATGTGAAAATTGTTTAAGTGGGCCTTCTTTCAAAACAATCGTATTCGTAGCCTTAAATCCTGAACGTGCAAAGTCTTCAACAGCATAGTTATCAAACCACTCTGTTACTTCATCTTTTGTGCTATCTGTGAACAGCAAACCACATTGACCTTTCATGCAATGTGATAACTACGAAGTAAACCTTTATAAATAACATATATTGTATTACTTTCAATTAAATACCTTATGTAAATCGTCTTCCACTTCATCCTCCTTACTTTTACCAAGTCCTATTGCAATTACTTTGTTTTTTCCAAAGAAAAATCGACTGGGTTTCCATTCTTCTCTGACTTCTTTCATTTTTTCATTTCGCATATTTGCGAATGTAAACAAATATACACTTTTATACTTTTCCACACAATTGCGGACATCCTCCACGATTTTCTGTTTCAATGCGAGCCCCTTTTTATCAGTTTTTGTTAACGAAACTAGAAAAATACAACAGTGATTTGAGGTTATGAATACACAACATTGTAACAAATATAAATTATAAGATGTCTAATTACTTTTTTTATCTCTCTTTGACTTCGGCATTTTAAACAAAACTTAACTATCAACCCACGTGCAGAATTTCAATTTTCACTTAAAATAAAATATAATATTTTAGAATTATTAAAATTTCATAGCAAAAACGCAAAATTGAAAATTTAAAAACACGTGCGATGTCACTGAGATTTACTGCGGGAATAAAAGATGTCGCTGTACAGGCACGGAAAATCGATCATATCCCCTCAACTCTCAATACACATGCGTGTTTTACTGGTTGCGTGAATACTATTTATCTAACATAATTCTGATTTGATTTAAGATTTAACAAATTTTCAATTTATTTTTAGGATCACGAAGCTAAGAGAGAATGTATGGAGAATGGAAAATGGTTTACCCTAAATGGTTCTACTTTTACAAATTACTTAAATTGTGCCGAAGTTGGTACTACCACAATTTATCTAAATACAAGTATTGATAAAAATGAAACAGAAATCTCACAAACTTCCCTGGTAATTAGTAAATAATATATTTTTCTCCTTTTATATATTATAAATATAATTAATATATTACTTTTACAGAATATAATCAAAATTTTGAGTGAAACAGGGTACGCTATATCATTAGTATCTTTAATAATTGCTTTCACCATAATGTTTAAAATAAAGTAAGATAAATAATAATATCAAATAACTGTTGTATTTAATAAAACTACTTTTCAGACGATTGCATTGTGCAAGAAACATACTTCATATGAACTTATTTGCGTCTTTCATATTAAGGTCTTTTATGCATATTTTGAAAGATGCGCTTTTCGAAGACGGTCTAGGACTAGAAAAAGATATATTAACAAATGATGATGGTGGCAGATATTTTCATGTAGATTTTAAGGTGATTTCCTAAGAATTACAATATAAGAAAATAATAAAATATTTATTCTAGGTCAACAATTTTGAATGCAAATTGATTATAAGTTTGGTTCAATATTTTACTACTGCCAATTACAGCTGGATTCTGATGGAAGGACTATATTTGATCAATTTAATTTTAAGGGCTCTCTTCACAGACTCCAATAAGAATTTAGCTTATTATATATCATTTGGATGGGGTAAGCTTTTATTTATAGGGTAACTCCTCTTTTTACAAATACTAAAAATGATAGCTCACGTTTAAAATTATTTCTCTCAATATATTATACAATATACAAATTAATTCAAATTTATTTTCACAGTGAAGTACAGGTGTTTTTTAAATGAAACAATATACAGGGTGTCCCAGGCTGAGCGTGCATTAGAAGTTTCTAGAGAACTACAATATCTAGATCGGAGATTTTTTGCACATCGTTTTGTTTTAGGAGATCTATCGATTAAAAATATTTTCAATATGGTGGCACTTCCGGAAATACCGGAAGTTGACAGCAACTTTCTTGTTTCAAATAGGTACCCGCATTTTTTATTACATTCTTAAATTCTATGTAAACTGTTATGAATTTTGATATAAATACCAAATATTAACCGTTTTTGAGAAAAAAAATAATTAAATTTTTTGGAGGAAAAAACTGCCTGTCAAAAAAAATGTGTATAGCCTAAACGTCAAATTTACTGATTACCACAGCTACTGTTCCATAAAGAGAAGACATGTGGCCATTGCATGTGGCTATCTATTTCAAAAATTAAATTTTGAATGTCATAAAATATTTGCTGTAGCTGTCATGGAATTGAGACATTAAAAATTTATCATACATCACTTTTTTTCGAATTGCAACCCACTTTTTTATTTCACTAGGGAAAAGGGTTTTCAATTCGTTACTATAAGTTACTTAAGATTTAGTTTTAAAGCGTAAATTTTTCTTGATTTTATCTCGCTTCCTTTGACATTAAGTGTCAAACTGGTGTCAAACAATCAGACAATTTATTTCCTTCTGTCAAAAAATTAATTATTTGAAAATTTCGTATATTATAAATACTGCTGTTAAAACCTTAGGTTAAAACTTTATACAGTGTATATTTATAAAAATATATCTTGTATTTTAGTGACATCTAAATACAAAATGATAAAAAAACGGCGCAAAGTTGGCTTAGAAGTAACTGTCAATGACATACTGATTTTTTAATAAAACGTCGGAATATGACATGATAGAGAGATATATTATTTTACATCGCTTGACGTTTAAAGTCATAGGCTACTGGTTAAAAACCAGAAAAAATATGTATCAATTCCATGACAGCCTACGGCCAAATATTATATATGATATTAGAGAACAATTCAATTTTTGAAATAGATAGCCTCATGTTTTCTCTTTATGCCACAGTGGCTATATGGTAATCACTAAATTTGACCTTTAGACTATATAATATTTTTTGACAAGCAGTTTTTTCCCCAAAAATTATAAATAGTTCTTTCTCAAAAACCGTTATGTTAGGGGTATAGTGTATAGAGTAGAGATATAAAAATTCATAAAATTTTATAGAGAATTTAAATATGTAATAAAAATGGGTATACCCATTTAAAACAAGAAAGTTGTTGTCAACTTCCGGTATTATATGCAGCCATATTAAAAATATTTTTCATCGATAGTTATTCTCATTGTAAAAAAATGATGTGCTAAAAATCTATCAAAGTGTGTGTGGTATGCAAAAAACCGATCTAGATATTATAGTTCGTCAAAAACTTATTGCACGCTCAGCCTGGGACACCCTGACACCTTTGGTCACCAATTTAATGGATTTGTCATAAGATTACTATTATCCTTGTATATACAGGGTGGCGCACCTCATTCGCCTCGGTTGATTATACGAAAACGGAAACATGTAGAAAGAAAATATTTTATGGGTATATGTGGGGAGACAATGTGCACAATTTAAAATTATTTTGAAATATACAGGGTATTTCACAACTAAGATCCATACCAAAGTTATATTTTTTCTTATGGAACACCCGGTATTTTATTTCATTCTTGGATTCCTGGGCCCAAAAAAAGGCTTTTATTATAAGGGTTAAATATGTTTAATATATTTGGTTTTTGAGATATTTAAATATATTTAAATTTGCATGCTACAATAGAATAGATTATTAACACCCTGTAAATTATTTTTCAGAATTAATACTTATGCTGAGTTTAAAGGGAGAGAAATAAACTTTAGTAAAAAATGGTATTGCTTCCTTAAATTTATACAGGGCTATCAAAAGTTGCTGATCTGTTTTAAGGATATATTTTATATAAAAACTTCAGCACCCTATATTATTTTAAATAAATCGAAGCAGATTCAAATGCTCTTTCAAACTATATTAGGGTTTCCTATACCTATCTAGCTCAAATTTTGAATAAAAAGGAATTTATAAATAAAATTGCAATCAAGACGGCTGGTGTCGCCATGGCAATTTTATAGTAACAGTTAGTAGCTATTTTCAAAGTCGACATTACTTTATGGACATTATTATTTATAATTTATAACAGTTTACTTAAATTTACCTACAATAGTTTAATAAGTAAGTATTCATTATTCTATCAAGAAAAATAAAGCAGTAGTATCTGCTGGTGAAACGAATAGATATGTTACTAGAGATTTTATTTTGTGAGGAAAATTGCTTTCTTGGCCTCAAGGGCTTATGCTTAAAGATATCCAAATAGGAATCTGCCTGATAAGCGTTCCTTTGAAAAACTACTTGTCCTATTTCGCAGAGCTGGTAGTGTGGTTTCTGGAAAACCTATTAGGAAACCTGTCGTTGGAGGCGAAGAAAATGAATTTGACATAATTAGCTCTTTTATAGAAAATCCATATATCTACAAGTCATTGTAAAATAAATTAAAGAACTACTTATTCGTTTTTCTTGATAGAATAATAAATACATATTTAATAAATATTATTTATTAAATTATTGTAGGTAAATTAAATAAAAGTAAACTGGGTATAAATTTAAATAACTCCATAAACTAATTTCTATTTTGAAAATAGCTACTAACTGTCACTTGAAACCTGCCATGACGACACTAGCCCTCTTGGTTGCCATTTTCTTGAAAAATTGATCTTTATTCAAAATCTGTGCTAGTTAGGTATAGGAAACCCTAATAGAGTTTGAAAGAGCATTTGAATCTGCTTCGAGTTGTTTTAAAAAATACAAGGTGTTGTACAAATACAATTCGTTATTATATATATTTATTATTATATATTATTCATTTATTATTATATTATTATATATATACAATTCGTTATTCGTACTTCGTTATTTCAAAAAATAACCAAGTTTTTATGTAAAATATATTCTTAAAATAGATCAGTAATTTTTGATACCCCTGTATAAATTTAAGGAAGTAATAACATTTTTCTGTAAAGTTTGTTTCTCTACCTTTAAATTTAGCCCACGAATTAATTCTGAAAAGTAATATACAGGGTGTTAATAATCGATTCTATTGTAGCATACAAATTTAAATATCTTTAAATGTCTCAAAAACCAAAAATTTTAAACATATTTAACCCTTATAATAAATGCCTTTTTTGGGCCCAAGAATCCAAAAATTAAATAAAATACGGGATGTTCCATAAGAAAAAATATAACTTTGGTATGGATCTTAGTTCTGAAACAAAAAAAAATTTAAATTGTGCACATTGCCTCCCCACATATATCCATAAAATATTTTGTTTCTACATTTTTCCGTTTTCATATAATCAACCGAGGCGAATGAGGTGCTCCACCCTGTATAAAAAAGGCTATTATTACTACTAAATTGAGAAACACCATGTATACATGTTATACAGGGTGTCCTAGAAATAAGTGCAAGTATTTTAAGGAGTGATAGATCTCGATAAAATAAACATATTTTCTCTTTATCGTTTTTCAAATAAGTCCAAAATAACGGAATTATTTTACTTTGAAAATTCCCCCAAAAAAATGATTTTTTGCTAAAATTTTGAGAACCACTGGATCTTTTCTGGATTTTCTTTCTTGTAAAATTAATCTACTACCTATGTTGCCATATATTATCAAGAATTTTTTTTAAATAAAAACTAAAAAGATTTCCAAAAAAATAAAAAATAAAATTCGCGGAAAAAACCTCATAGGCGTGTTTCTGGGGTTGAACTATAATACTACCAGTTAAAATACTTACACTTATTTCTGGGACATCCTGTATACCTATTATATCGATACTGGTGGTACTTAAAATATGACCATTTTTACGCTAAATTTTTGGTACTTTTAAATATTCCTGTTGTCGTTGAATGATCATGAATAATTTCCTGAATGGTTTGAATAGTTTCATGAATAATTTCCTTAGCAAAAGAAATATATACCATCGAGTCGCGCTGTATAATATTTTAGAATTTGCGATATTAGAAACTAGATCTAGATCTACCTAAGATAGTTCTAAGACATGACACCTGAAAAATATGTTTTTTAAAAGTCGAGTTATCTATAACTATACAGAGTGTTCCTTAATAATGACATGCTAATATATTTAAGGGGGTGATTCTCACGTACTGAGTTTTATATTGAATATTTTTGTAGAATAAAATGTCACGCCACCGACATCCCTTATAATAAACATTATTGGTTTTTGCTTAAAAAAATAAACTAATTTTACTTCATACTTTCAATCGCTAAAAAAATGTTGCGGTGACTGTATGAAATCGTTTCTGCATCGGTTGGAAGACAATTAATAAATACAAAAAAAATGTTGTGTGAAAAAATGCATATTGATGCATAGAGACGTGTATCAAATATGGTATGAAGATATCTATAAAAAAACATATCAGAATTAAATTACGAAAAAACGTTTTTTTAGAAAATTTTACCACCTCATATCTCAAAAGTAAGATGTTTGGGACATACATTATCATATGAAGTTTTTTCTTAGAATAGATCCAATAAGAATCGCCCCCTTAAATATTAACATGTCATTAAGGAACACCTTGTATGTTCTAATAATAATTTAATTTCAACTCGAACCTATTTTTAATATTTATTTTATTTTCAGGTTTGCCATTATTGGTGGTAATTCCTTGGGTTATTACAAGAATTATGGAAGAAGATACTTACTGCTGGACGACAAATAAAAATCCTAAAGTATTTTCCATTATATTTGTGCCCACACTAGCCTCAGTTTTGGTAAGAAGAATATTTTCATTAAATATACATGGCGGCGCACCTCATTCGCCTCGGTTGATTATACAAAAACGGAAAGATGTAGAAACAAAATATTTTATGGCTATATGTGGAAAGGCAATGTGCATAATTTAAAATTGTTTTGAAATGTACAGGGTGCGTCAGAATTAAAACCCATACCAATGTTATATTTTTTCTTATGGAACACCCGATATTTTATTTGGTTTCTGATTTGGTTTGGATTCTTGGGCATAAATAAGGCATTTATTATAAGGGTTTAATATGCCTAAAAGCTTTGGTTTTTAAGATATTTAAATATGCATGCTATAATAAAAAAAAAGTCAACCCTTGTACATTACTTTACAGAATTAATTCTTGTGCTGACTTTCAAGCCAGATGAATAAACTTTACAAAAAAAATTGATTGCTTCTTTAAATGTATACAGGGGTATCAAAAATTGCTGGTCTATTTTAAATAAAAACTTCGTTATTTCAAATGCAACACCCTCTATTTTTTAAAATAAACTGAAGCAGATTTAAATGGTCTTTCAAACTATATTAGGGTTTCCTATACCTATCTGGCTCAGATTTTCAATAAAAAGCAATTTTTCAATAAAATTGTAATCAAGATGGCTGTTGTGTCTCCATGGCAATTTTCTAGTGACAGTTAGTAGCTATTTTCAAAATCGACTTTAATTAATGGACTTTATTATTTAAATTTATAACAGGTTATTTTTATATAATTTACCTACAATAAGGTTAATAATAAGAATGTATTTATTATTTTATCAAGAAAAATGAAGCAGTATCTACTGGCAGAAGGAATGGATGGATATGTTACTAGTGATTTTATTTTGTGAGGACAACTGCTTGTTGGCTTGAAGAGTTTATGCTCAAAGATATCCAAACAGAAATTTTCTTGACAAGCGTTCCTTTGAAAAACTACTTTTCCAATTTTGCAAAGCTGATAGTGTGGTATATGAAAAACTTATTAGGCAGAAACCTGTCGATGGAAGGGAAGAAAATGAATTTGCCTTAATTGTTTTTTTTTATAGAAAATCCAATATGTAATTATTTTGATTTTCCATAATAAGTCATCGTAATAAAAATCAAAGAACTACTTCTTTTTTTAATAAAATAATAAATACTTACTTATTAAACTATGGTAGGTAAATTAAATAAAAGTAATCTGTTATAAATTTAAATAAAGTCAATAAACTAATGTCGATTCTGAAAATAGCTTACTATCACTAGCAAATTACCACTGCGACACCAGCCATCTTGATTGCCATTTTATTAAAAAATCGCCTTTTATTCAAAATCTGAGTCAGATAGGTATAGTAAACCCTAACATAGTTCGAAAGAGCATTTAAATCTGCTTCGACTTATTTTAAAAAATACATAGTGTTGTATTTGAAATAACAAAGTTTTTATGTATAATAAATATTTAAAATAAACCAGCAATTTTTGATACCCCTGTATACATTTAAGGAAGCAATCAATTTTTTTTGTAAAGTTTATTTCTCTGGCTTGAAAGTCAGCAAGAATTAATTCTGAAAAGTAATGTACAGGGTTGACAAACTTTTTTATTATGGCATGCATATTTAAATATCTTTAAATTTCTCAAAAACCAAAGCTTTTAGACATATTAAACCCTTATAATAAATGCCTTATTTTATGCCCAAGAATCAAAAATGAAATAAAATACCGGGTGTGTTCCATAAGAAAAAATATAACTTTGGTATGGATCTTAGTTGACACATCCTGTACATTTCAAAATAATTTTAAATGGTGCACATTGTCTCAACCGAGGCGAATGAGGTGCGCGACCCTGTATAAATTTTATCTTAAATAAATATATTTTTAGTTGAACTTCATTCTCTTTATAATAATATCCAACGTACTCTACAAGAAACTTAAGTCACCAGTGAATGAAGAGTCCAAAAGATATCTGAAATGGGCTAAATCTACATTGGTCTTAATGCCTTTATTTGGAGTTAACTATACAGTTTTCCTTATATTTTATTTGATAGACGAAAAGTTAATTTGGATGATATGCGATAGTTTATTCGGAAGTTTTCAAGTAAGATATATTTTTAATATTTTTTCTGATATCTTAACAACTTTATGTTTATCAGGGATTCTTCGTCGCAATTCTTTACTGTTTTTCAAATGGGGAAGTTAAAGCTGAAATTAAACCGCATATAAAAAATTTACTAATATTTCTGGCAACAAACAATTTTACAAAATACTGTTTCCCAGGACGAGAGAAGTATTTAAGGTAATTGTATGGATAATTATTTTATAATTTTGAATGCATTTTTAAATTTATTATAACCATCAATGACTAAAGAATACATTGCAAGCACAAGTAACGCCCATATACGGGGTCCAGCAGAATTTATGATGTTAGACGCCATTTTTTTGGCTGTAACGAACAATGAGTCATCAGCGACAATTTTAGCGAATTTTAATAGTTTGTATGTAATGAACTTGGTATAAACTTTATTACAATGGTGATTAGTTTTTCAAGTGTAAAAGCCGCAGCGATAAGAAAAAGCCAGGAGTTACGTTTCATAGGAAAATAAACAGTCCACTCCACCTTTTTAGCGTTTTTTTTTATAGAATTTTATAGAACCAAACCAAACCAAATTATTTTTCTGATATTATATGTACTTGATATGTGCCATACCTCGATACTAGTTTTGGACCGTTTGTTAACATTTTAATACATTTTTTTCGTAACTAATTAGTATGATATCACCGCATATACTATAGGCGTAGTCAAAACATTTACCAAAAATATAAATATCTCTTCAAGCAGCTATGTTAAGAAAAATATGTGCTAAGTAGGGATGTCAATCCCGGGATCTCGGAACCCCGGGATCCCGGAAGAAAATTTGCCTCGAAAAATCCCGGGATTGGATTATATAAATACCGATTTTTCATGCCATAGAGTAAATGCTTAATTTCGGAACTAAATAACTTAATATTTCCCTAATTAAATCAGAGATAGAAAAGCTTTTAATCAGACTAGATCTCGATAATTCAATAGATACTTCTAGAAGAGGAACCAGCAACGACAGCGAAGAGGATGAGCTTCCCATTGACGAACCTCTGAGAAGAGAAAATTATGAACCTTTAAAGGTTAAACTGCAGAAAGCATTACAACAATCTTCAAAGCCGATAAAAACCAAAAGAAGTAATAAGACGCGATTGTCAGACATCATTACCCAAGAAATTGAATTATTTTCAAATGGTGGTAGTCGGGGACGTAATCTCCAAAAAGCTTTTGAATTTTTATCAACCATTCAGGCCATTAGCGTGGAATCTGAAAGATGTTTTTCTTCGGCAGGTCTTGTGTAATAAGATACGTTCAAGACTGGGGGATGAAACTTTAGACACATTAATATTTTTGCGCTATTTTTTTAAAAATTTGTAGCTATAATTTGTTTGCTAAAATTTGTTTGGTGTTCATATGATTTTTTCAAAAAAGTTTTTTGTTAATTTTCGTGTTTTGTTATATTTATATTAATTTTTTTATGATATTAGGTATTTTATTGATAATTGTAAACCCGGGATTCAATCCCGGGATCCCGGGATTTGTCGTTCAAATCTCGAAAATCCCGGGATTTTGAAAACCTTTTGGGATTGACATCCCTAGTGCCAAGGCACTGTTTGGAGGTATGGTAACAATTTGGTCCCGGGTGTTATTTATTAGGCCTTGTATTCTTTAGTCATTATTATTACAATATCAATAACCAGTGGCGGCTCATGAGTTCTGAAGAAGGATGGGCACAGCCTCCTAAAAAAAACTTCTCTATTATTTTAGTATATAAAGTCTATCCTAGGTTTTCAAAAACCTTTGTGGAGAAAGTTTTTATTTTCAACCATATTATATATTGTGATTTTGGCGCCCCCTAAAACTGCGGCACGGGGTAGGTGCCATGGAGACATCCTAGTTATTTTGAACAACTTGAGAAACACCCTGTATATTTTATGCATATTACTATTTTATGCCGGCCTTAAGGGTTTATTTGCTTAAAAACATATTTAAGAATAATTTTGTAGCTCAGCAGTGGGCAGACAGTCGGTGTGCACGACGATGTCTTGTAGCTCCCTCTACAACAACGGAGTTAGCAGGCGCAACAGCAAAACAAAATGCGATCAGCTTTCCAAATTTAAACTGACCAATCTGCATTCGGGTAAGTTTTTTAGTACCCTTCCTCCATGCACACAGTTAAGAAAATTAAAATTAACTGTTTTCGTTCATTTCAGAAAGCTGCAAAGACACTTTAAAGAATGGCAAAGGAAGACATTCGGTGCCAAAAACTGGACACAACGGACACTATACTTACAATGTGACTCTGGCTAATGGAAAGTACCCCATTAGTATAACTACAAATGTAAGAATATATAATAATTATTAAAATAATCATATAATTTCAATACTGAACGAATATATAAATTAATTTGATCATTTAAAATACCCTATATATAAACAAGTTAAATAAAAAAAAATAAGAAGCATTTAATTCTAAAAATAAAACTAAATTCTGTGTTAAATAAGTAACACATGGCTATACAAAATAATATTATGCATACATCATAAATTTTTATTTTTTTTATCTTAGCTTGATGTTTCAATAACCAACGAAATAAAACCAAACCCCATTTCGGAAAATCTTCCCAAGTGCGAAGAAGAGGTCCGCATGCTTCAAGATCACAACAAGATAGAACGTTGTTGCTGTGAAAAGTAACATGTTCAAAAGAACATAAAATGGTGTGTCCAAAGGAATGATAAAACTTATTAAGAAAATGATAATTATTTCATTTTCTCAGTATGTCAATATGTTACTCAATCTTGAAAAGGAAAAACAGATATTTTTCATAGCACGTCTATTGATTGTATTACATGTATTTCTAAACACCGAAGATTCGGAATCTACCCTTGCTTTTGAAATTCATATAATCGAACAAATAATATGTGTCACATTTCCGAATCGAAAAAATATCAATTGCTATTTATTAAAGGCTACAGGGTGTTCAAAGATACGTGTATATCAGATTTCATTTTCTCAGTGTGTCAAATATATGTTACTCAAATCTTGAAAAGGAAAACAGATATTTTTCATAGCACGTCTATTGATTGTATTACATGTATTTTTCTAAACACTGAAGGTTAGTAATCTACCCTTGTTTTTGAAATTCATATAATCGAAAAAATATATATGTCACATTTCCGAATCGAAAAAAATATCAATTGCTATTTATTAAAGGCTACAGGGTGTTCAAAGATTGAATGAAGAATGAATCAGAAAAGAAAGTATTGAATTATTTTTTTCGAGTTCCTTTATATTTTTATATCATAAATGAATACTCTAGGGCAGAAATATAAAAATGATCTTGTGATACATAGAAAGTTCTATAAAATTCCTATAAAAAGATGTCCATGAACAAATCAAATGTTTAGTATATAAGTCTGTATGTACAAATATATTTCTAATTGTGTTTTCACCAAATGTATTAGGGTTTAAGGTATAAAGTAATCACCATGTGATAGTTATAATAGCTAAGAAAGTCGTTAATTATAAAAGTAATTGATAGATGTATTTTCTCTATCTCATTCATTGTCTCTCTCTAAAATATATGTAAAATAAACAAAGCAAATAGGTACTCTAATATAGTATTTTTCTTCCCAATTCTCTTATATGTTTTTAAATAAAAAATATCAGTCATAAAACGTCTTTTATTTACAAAAAGTATAATAAAAGGTGATTTATTTTACATATAACAAATAAATAATAAAAATGAATACCATATACAGGGTTGTTCACCACATACGACACGGAGTATTGTAGCTAGACGACTAGATTTTTGCAAATTGTAAGTTTTGGGTTCGTTAGAGGACTATTAGAGCTACAATTTAAAAATAGTTTTACAAGATACAGAGTGTCCCAAATAAATAAAAAATATTAAAGTTGTGTTTTTTTAAATGGAACACCCTGTATATTATTACATTTTTAGTTTCTGCGATTAAAATAAATTTGATTAATGTTTACCGTATTTTAATCTTATCGTTTTTGAAATATTTAGGTTTTTGTCAAAATACAGTAATAACTTTAATGCTTCATTTCTCTAGGCGTATTTAAGTTTTTAAAACCAAATATTGTACTGAAGTATTTTTATTTACTAATTTTTGTTTTGCAATAATAAAAATTACACTACCTTTTACAGAGTGTCTAAAAATTTATTCTAAATAATTACTAGCTTTAAACGGCAATAACTTGTTTAATTTTAATGGAACACCCTACATATTTTATGACAATCAGATGCACAATTTAATTGTCTATCAAATTGTATTACTATTTGTTACCTATCTTCTCAAGTTTTTGTTGAAAATGCATTTTTTTATATTTTAGACCTCATTTATCAATATACCCATGGAATATTGACATTTTAGATTATTTTTGAAGATGTAAGAAATTTTTAAAGTGTAAAGATACTAATATTATCGATATAGTTCGTTTATTTCATTAAAAAATTAAAAAAAACTGTTTAAATATTTGTAAAAGAGGACCAATTAATATGATTCCAGTATTCAAACTACATTAATTGACTGTTTGCATTGATTAATAATAATTGCACTAAATACTAAATGTGTATTAAAGAGTGGTAAAAAGAAACACATAAAAATTTTATTTCATTTTTTTATGAATGCTTATTTATAACAGAGACTTTCATTTTCATAACTTATTATTATATTGATTTCTGATACAAATCCACATTTATTTAGAATAATTTATTAACTAACACAATTAAGTATGTAATTAATTAATATTTGGGAGGAAATAATGGTGGTATATTTAATTAATGGTATACTCTTTTATAGAAATTTAAATAGTTTTCTTTTTGTATACAAATGGGCTAGTAATATCGTTTTTAGCACCTGTACATTTTGTACATTTGTTGCTTTAAAAACAATCTTAAATATTAATATTCCATGGATATGGATATTGATAAATGAGGTCTAAATTATAAGAAAACGCATTTTCTATGAAAATTTGAAGGGATAGGTAAAAAATGGTATAATACGATTTGATAGACAATTAAATTGTGTATTTGACTCTCCTAAAATATACGGGGTGTTCCATTTAAATTAAACAAGCTATTGCCGTTTAAAGCTAGAAATTATTTAGAATAAATTTTTAGACACTCTGTATGAGGTAGTACTATTTTTATTATTTCAATACAATAACTGATCAATAAAAAGCTTTCAAATGAAGCTTTGAAATTTTTACTGCAATTTCAAAAACGGTAAGGTTTAAGTGTCATAAACCTTAATCAAATTTACCTTTATTTTAATCGTAGAAACTAAAAATGTAATAATATATAGGGTGTTTGATTTAAAAAAAAATACAACTTTGATATTTTTTATTTAGTTGGGACTAGCTCTAAGAGTCCTTCAACGAACCCAAAACTTACAATTTGAAAAAATCTAATCATTTAGCTACAATACTCCATGTTGTATGTGGTGAACAACCCTGTATATTAAAAATAATTAATCACTTTCAAAATCACTGCTGCATAATGAATCAATAAGAATACTTTTATCATTTTCTTCATTAGTTTTTAAGCATATGTTCAAGTGACATTGCATCTCACTCTCAAGAACCAAATTAAGACAAAAAGGACAGTTATATTTATTGGATTCTATATCTTCAATTTCTTCTACAGGCACATTTGTCATATCAAATATATTACTCATACCTAGACACTCTTCTAGATGATAATCCATTTCAGACTTCAATATTTTCTTACTACAAGCTACACAAGTTGTTCTAATATCCTTATTTAGTTTATATTTTTCATCCAATTGATCATACATTTTTAGTAAACACTGTTCAACATGACAATCATATTCTAAATTTGACAGCTCAGCTTTACATGCAGGACATTGTTTTTTGTGGGAATCGCTTTGAGTTAGGTCTATCACATCACCATCTTTACTAATATTAGCATAATCCAAGTCAGCATCCTCACCAAAATGTTTTTCAGTACACTTGGTGGTATGGACTTCATATTCAGTATTTGCAACCTGTTGTCCACATATAATACATTCTTTGATTTCTTCTTTACTTAACTCCAAACAATGATCTAAATGTTCATTCAAAATTTCAATGTGGATTTTTTCGCTGCAAACAGGACATTCAGCTGTATTATAATCATCTGCAATTTTATTCAGTCCTGAGCTTTTAGCAACTTTAGCTGAAGACTGCAATACATCAGTTGATGGTCTTTTCACAGCTTCTGCTTTTTTATTGTCAAATTTATTCAGCCAGTGCTCTCTCACAACTGAATAACTGTTATTTTGAGGAACAGAAGAAGCTCCCAATGCTCTGCCAGTTCCACTAAATACTTCCACAGTAGTTTCAGTCGCTTTCATTAATTTGGTATTTTGAACTGTATTATTATTCTGGTTGCCTTGTTTTGTAACAACAAATGTACTTCCCCCTGCATTTTTTACAACACCCTTCATTCCACTCGTACTACCTTTCTTTGGTGTTAATACGCTTGAGGTGGTTCCATTACCAAGACCAGTAAAGCCAAATATGTTACTACTTTTTGATGGAATAACATTACTAATTTGAGAACCACCCACATTATTTGAAATTGAGCGAATATTATTCACTAAATCAGGTTTAGAAATAGTACTTGTGTTAAATGATGTTTTAGAATTTTTAGGCTGGTTTTCTTTGTTAGAAGCACTTCCACTTCCAACATTAGATATATATTTTCTTATATCATTTTTAGAATCTTTGGTATTTGAAACTGTTCCTGTAGTTGTATTTTTCTTGTTGCTCTTTACATGTGGTTCGGGACTTTTTACCTAAATAAATTTAATACTTTGTAAAAGTAATATTTAAATATACAAAAAAAAGTTCAATTAACTAATTAACAAAAAAAAGTTAATTAACTATGTCAATGAAACTATAAAAATCAGTGCAACATTCACCAAAATCTAAGTGTATCTATGTTTATACTGATTTAAACTAAACCAAAGTAATTTATAATATTATTTTGTTACTCAGTAATAAAAATTAAATAAGCTAGATCTCTTATTGTACAAATTAAAAGTTGATTTGAACCAGTCTTTAATATGGTTAGGTATTTCCTATAACAAAAGAAAACAAAATCTAGATCACAAGTTCAAAATTAAAATACTAAAACTACTGCCTAATAGAACTACATTTCCTTAGCAGAATAAAATGCATATATCAAAGAAGAGTGGAGAACAAGCACTTACCTTTATAAAATTTCCTCCACAATTTCTAGAATGTTCTGCCCACCATCTATCATTAGGCCCAGGAGCTCTATTAGTAGCTCTTCGAACCATTCCAAAATATGGTTTTCGATTCTGGCATGGTCCATCACATCTCCACCAATGCTGCTGATACAATCTAACTTCATCATGAAAACTGTGATATACAGTAATGTTTGTACCTAATTATAACAAAATTAATTAATACCACTTCCCTAAAATATTTTATTTGTATAAATTATGTATACCTACCAGTTTCTGCATTTATCCTATACATGTGTTTGTGAAACTCAGGTCCATGCCCATCTCTATCTCTATTATTATGTGTTACAAATAGATAAGCATGAATCATTTCATGAAGAAGTGTTTCAACTAAATCTTTTCTAGGTCTAAGCTTCAATAATGGCTCACTTAATGTAATAGAACACATACCTGCTCTACCTGTAAATGTAAAATATAATTAAACAACTAAGTATACAAAGGAAAATTATCCTTTTACCTTGATAAGAACATATACCAGCACAGCTGGTCATTCGTTTACTCCATGAAACAGTTACTGCTAATAACTTGTTCCAGAAGAATCTCTCGTTAAATGTTACAAATAACACATGTACATCTGGGGTAGGATCAATAACTTCCCACGAAGGATCTACTAGACACTTTGACTTATTTGCAGATGAAACATCATAAGCCAAATTGTTTCTAGGCTTTTCTATGTCACTTTCGGATTTAAACTGTTCCTGAAGCTGTAAAGCAAGCTGATAATCGGAGTCGGTACTTTCAGTATGTTTAGCCTCTTGATCAAATTTGTATTGCAAAAGAAGAGCGGTCTGAAAATCTACCTCACCCATTTTCTTAAATCTTCACAAATGTCTTTATAAACAAAACGTCAGTGTTAAAAATGCTATGTTTTAAAATAACTATTATCATTAACAACTATTTCACCTATACAATTAAACTCGTTTTTTATAAAAATTTAAAAGAAAATGTTTTTGTTATCAAAACTGTTAACCACTGTTGTTAACTGTCAATTATGGCCGGTTCAGCTGTCGCTGTCGCAGTCAATCAAATATTCAAATATATGAGAATATATGATTCTAAGATATGATTACGGAGAACCAAGGATATATAGTACTAGAATCAGAGGACAAAGAAGCTTTTTAAGCCCCTCTTAGATATGATGAATATGATATTAGAGGTTTTTGGTAAATTTCATATTTCGCCATCTCTTTGACAATGGAGGAAGTTTCAAAATGACAGAAAGATTGATCGAAATCTTTATCGAAATCATCAATAAATCATAAAAACAACCTAAAAATTTTAACCTCTGATTTTAACCTAGAAATTTTAAATTTTTTGCCATTTATTTTTTATTTCCAAGGATAATATATTTTTAATAACTGATATAGCATATGAAATGTTGAAAACTACGGTTGAAATTATTTTAAGATCATTCAATAGGAAGGGTCTATCTTCTAGATACTTATCAACAGCAGTTCAACCAAGACATGACGAAAAATTAGAAACATTTAGGACTCCTGAAAACGATCCTTCTAAGCATAACTCTCAACATTTAGCACAATTTTACCGAATACCGTTGGAAGATAAAAACGCCCTTTTCCACCAAAGTGCATTACCAAAATCATTCGAAGAACAAACTAAAACATTTAATGAGATATGTCTTATGGTGCGTAAACCTGGAATAGATATAATAAATTACCTTAATACCTTAGATTATACAAAACCTTCAGTAAGATTTGTATTATATGGTCAGAAGGGCAGTGGTAAAACTTTATCTTTAGCACATATTTTACATTATGCTTATAGAAATAATTACTTACTTGTACATGTACCTTGGGTGGGAAATTGGATGCATAGGTCTAAGGAGTTTAGCAATTCAGAAACACAGGAAGGTTATGTAGACATTAATTTAGACGCAGCTGCATGGCTGCTTCATTTTAAAACTCAGAATGTCAAACTTCTGAAGAATACTGATTTAAAATTACTAGAAACTATCGAATGGAATTCACGTGAGTCAACGCTTAAGGACGCCCCACTATTAGAACTAGTAGAACATGGTATTAGTAGAATCAAATTTGCATCACGTGTTGTAAATATTTTGGCAGATCAGATTAAAAGGTTGTCAAGTGAAGGAGTGTGCAAAACATTAGTAGCAATTGATGGATATAATGCCTTTTTCTACCCTTCTACAAAAGTGTATACAGAAAAGAGGGAAATGGTACCACCTAGTAGAATAACTGTAACAGAAGCATTTTTAAATTTGACCAAATTTGACTGGACGAATAGTGCAATTGTAGTTACTGTAGATGAACTAGCTGTGCCTGATGAAAATCAGATTTCATATTTTCCAAGGTAAAATTTAAAGCTACATTGATTGAATATTGTAATTTAGAGTTTCATTTCTTTTAAGATTATAAATACTTCAATTAACTAAACGAACTTTAGGAACATTATTTGACTTTACTTTTACATTCATTTTTAAAATAATTTCAGTAATAAAACAGTTAAAGGTTGTTATAATGTTTTTAGATATTTATTGGGCAAAGAAGGCTTTAATCATATTGATCCGTTCATCCCAGTTCCTGTGGCAAATTACTCCAAAAAGGAATTAACCAGTGTTATCAATTATTATATTGAAAGGAAATGGATACAACCATATCCAGGACAAGAAGAGGAACTGAGCTTGCTTGCTAATTCAAATCCATACAGTTTAATGAAATTATGTAATTCTTTGTAAAGATAAAATAAAAATATTTTAATTTATTCAATATTAGATTTAACATAATTATTATAAATCTTGAAATTTTATATCTGAACAGTAGGTAATTAAAATATTCAATTCATTATAAAGTAGGTAATTAAAAAGATATTCTACCTATTCATGTACACTTCAGTTTAATATAATAATACTTAATTATTGGCATTTCAAAAAAAATGTGATGTTTAAAAAAAGGTTTAAAATTGTAGAGGGAGGAAGGGGGTCATTATTTTGTTGAAAACAAACCACTTATCAGAGTCATTGCATGTATGTTAGTCAAAGAAATATAATAGAAAATGATTTAATGACAGTCAAATTAGAATAATTTCCTGAATACAATAAATATTTGATCAAATGGATAACAAGAAGATAGCATGTCATATTACATGGACATTAAAAATCAAAGAATTTGAAAAAATAGCTTAAATAATGATTCAGAATTAAATATACATATTATTTTTTTTATTATGTTATTTATATTTCAGCAATCAAATTTTTAAACCAAACTAAAATAAAAATTTAATGGATATTTTGGAAAAATTTTAAAACAAACTTATTTACTAAGCAGCTATACCCCCAGCAACGATTGCGTGAATGTCGAGAGAGATTACTTAATTCCAAATTGATCTAAATAACTAAATTCCAGTTATTAATAAATAATCTTTTATTTATTCTTTTATCTGTCACATGTTTCATCAGATAATTTGTTATTATTTTAGTAATATATAATAAACATAGTCCAGACTTAGGAAAGAAATGTGTACAGTAGAAATATAAAATTAGGTACTAGATGGGCTATAAAAATAATTTTTGGGTTTAGCCAGTCTGTTAATTTAGCTTATGATTAAATTATACCGGGTGCGTCGCAAAAGTGGCTCACCCCTATACCTTTTTTTATTTTTTTCAGAGAAAAAAACGAGATTGGGTATGTTAGTATCATGGAGTGTAGAGGTAGTTATAGTATTTAGTATATGACATAAATTGGGATTGATTGACGTATTCAATTGTTTTTGATCACTTCCTCTTTCACCGGAAATGACAACTTTGATTTTTAAATGGCACCCTCGGTATATTTTTACTTTTTTCGATAGACTCTGAATAGAATATGATATATACGTCAACTTTTGAAATTTTCTCTTAAAGAAATAGGTATAATATAAATTTCAATCTAGAGCGATATGGCTGATGTGTTAAGAACACTAATTTTTAATCAAAGAGCCTTGGAAAAAGCATTATTGGCCCGCTCGCGCCTACGTTACCACGAAGCCACAAGTGAAGTGAAAATATTTGTGAGCCGAGCGGCTGCACGGTTTCCATGGTAAGGTGACGTCAGTCTAGTGGCAGCATGTAAATTTCCCGCTCCGATATTTTTTATCGGCGACCGATGTGAATGAGTTTTTGGGCAGTTTGCTTCGTCTTCCTTTATGCTAATATTCGGCTACTTCGGCAAGTAATTAACTGTGTAAAGACTGTAAAGTTGTTGTTGATTATTTATTGTTGTTTGTTAATGGTTTTTGTTGATTTAACTTGTTAATTTTTGCTGTTTGTTTTGTTGTTGTGTTTTAAAACTGTTTTGTGTGTTAAAATGAACCCAATCAATGACTTGGTGTGCAATTTGAAACATGAAAAAATGAGCTGATTTACAAAAATTAGTAAGGTTAGTAATATAAATAAGTCAAATTTATTTTGGTTAATAGGTATTGCTTAGTTAACATTAATGTAATAGCCTTGTAATAGTATAATTATTAATTTAATAATTGAATAATAATATTGAATGGCTCCTCAGTTGTAACTAACAATTTTTTCAATATCGAAATTTCAGTGAAAAACCGAGGAAAAAAAGTTATACCTATGAAAATTACAACCTTATTTCACTGAATTCTCTATTTTGAAAAAAATGTCGGTTACAACGTTTTTCGGGGAAGCCCTTCAATAAGTACAGTGTTCGCCATAAAGTTGGATCCATATGGACGTTTTTTTTTGGTATTAGAGTTTGAAAAAAAAACTTTTTGTGGCAATCAATTCAAACATAATTTTGTTAGTCACCTTTTTTAAAATAATAATAATTTAACCAATTTTTAAAAATTTCTTTTAAATATTTTGTATTTGACAGCACCCAGATGTTAGCTGTCAACTTTGACTTGGTGCATTTTAAGTTGTTTTCAAAGCAGAGGTGATTGCAACAAAAAGATTTTTAAAACTCTAATATAAAAAATCGTCCATATGGATCCAACTTTATGGGGGACACTGTATATAATGTTTACTATATTTAATTTAAATTTAATTATATTTTCACTGGAATGCAGAATAATGTGTTTATCGAAAACTAGTTGTATCTCTTTTTACTTAATGTGTTTTAGCCCAAACTAAAACGAAAATACTATATATATTAGTGTATAATTAATATCAATAAAATGTTGACAAAATGGTGAATGCGCCAAAAAAATTTTTGCCGCCGGCGCAATTTGGAAAGTTAACTCTTCATCTAATTTTATACCGACGAGCCGCCACTGAGTTTTTATGAACCGCATGTTAGAATTTCAAATAAATCATATATGCGAAAATGTCAAAAGTTAACATATAATATGTCATTCTATTGAATACCATTTTCTATGAAGTAAAGTAAAAAATACCGAAGGTGTCATTTAAAAATCAAAAGTTTTAGTCATTTCCGTTGAAATTGGACGTGACCGAAAAGAATTCAATTGTCAGTCAATTCTTATTTATGTCATAATCTACTAAACTAACATATTAAAAATCGTTTTTTTATCTGAAAAAATAAAAAAGTTATAGGGGGTGAACCACTTTTGAGACGCACCCGGTATAGCCTTGAAAAATGTATCCCCAATGATCCAAACCCAAACAGCCAACCATGGATATGTAGGTATATCCATGGTTAGCTGGTTGGGTAGTGATGAGTTTTTTTGAGAGATATCAACCAGATAGCTATTTTCAATACTTCTTACAAACCTAGAGATTTAAAGCGTCTTGAGATCTGAAGAAATCTTCAAAAATACTTAAAATAAAAGAAAATATCGAAACAAGAGAAATATTGCCTCTACCATGTTTCTTTTATTTTGAATGCGGTGAGCGGTATTTTGAAGAAACAATAAACGACCTCTCGAAGTTTCAAGTCTGGAAACAGTAGTTTATCATACAATAATATTTTATTATCTTCCATAATGAAGCGGACGACTTAACGAACAACATACAATACATACACAGGAAGGTGAAACAATAAAGTCAGGTATTGCAGATCATGTTTGGTCTAAGCACCAGGTGGGAAGCTCGGGTTGTCCACAAGGAACATCAATAGAAAAGCGTAAATATAATTTTATATCAAGCAATACATAAAAACATCTTTAGTAGTTGCTTCAGTAAATGCGACATATCTTAAAGCTAAAAAAGTGTCGATATATTATCACTGGAATATTTTATTGAAAAAAGCATGTACCTACGCCACTGACTTTTTTCTCTTGTTAGTGAAATAGTGTAAGCAGTTTAATGCCAAGTTGTCTCTTGATATTTTGTCAATTTTGCCTTCCTTGAGGACGAGGAATATGAAATGAGATAAACGCAATTTTATTAATTTGCCTTGATCCAAGTCTAATACCAATCTTTAAAAAAAATTAACATCATTACCTTGCAAAAGTTTTAAATAAGTACCTACTATATAGTTGATTCGAAGAGTTGATGAATTTCAGTACCTGGTAAGTATGGTTCTCAGCGATGGGGGCACAGAGAAAGATATAGAAGAAAAGATTTTGAAGGCACAAAGAGCTTTTGGCAGGCTTACACCTGTGTGGAACTGCTCTATATATAGCAAAATATCTAAAGTCCAGCTCTTCAATAGCAATGTTAAATCTATTTTGCTTTATGGATGCGAAACATGGAAGGTTACGCGTGGTCTCATGGATCGCCTACAGGTGTTTGTTAACAAGTGTCTTCGAAGATTATTGAGAATTTTCTGGCCCAATCAAATTAACAACGAAGAACTGTGGAGAAGAACATCACAAAATCGAATAGATATCGAAATTAAGAAAAGAAACTGGGGCTGGATTGGGCACATTTTGCACAGACCCCACAGAGATATCGCTAGACAGGCACTTGAATGGAATCCACAGGGAAGACGTGCCGGGGGGAAGACCAAGGAATACCTGGAGAAGAACAGTAATCTCTGAAGCCCAAGAGGTCGGGAAAACATGGGGAGAGATCAAACAGACAACTCAGAATTGGATCAGATGGAAACATCTCTTAGAAGCCCTATGTCCCACGAAGGGATGACGGGAACATATCCTATAAACATGGTATGGAATGCATAGTTTTAGTGTTATACAGGATGTTAAACTTTTTTAAAAGTAGGTTTTTTGTAATAATATCTTAAATACCATTATTTTTTTATTTGATATTGCTGTAAGTTGGACTAACAGCGTTTTCAGATGGAGCGGAGCATCCGCGACTTCGAGCAAGTACCATCCATGAGTTTATATGAACGATTACACATGGGTCGCGTATGCTCCGTCCGGATGAGCTGTATTGAAAAAACATCGGCGCGGACGCTCCGCGCGTACGGTCCGCTCCATCTGAAAGCGCTGTGATACTAATAATAGCTAATAGTAATAATATTTAATAATAAGTTAGGTAAAATATATAATTTAGTAATTTTATTTTTATTTTAATTTTATTAATTGTGATTAATAAAATTGTGTTTATCTCATCAAGGAGGCCGAGTTAGACAAAATATGAAGAGATAACTTTTAATTGGCATTAGACAGCCTACACAATTTTTGATTCAAAAGAAAAAAAATCAGTGGCGCACATATTTTTTTTTGAAAAATATTCCAGTGATAAAACCCATATACACGACGTCCCTAATGAATGTATCGACACTTTTTTAGCATTAAAATATGTAGCACTTATAATAATCTTTACCCTAAAAATTCATTCGAATCACTAAAAGTACTTGGAAGAAAATTGTAATAAATCGAAAGATTATTAAGATTTTAACACCCTCTAGTTACGAAATAAAGCAGAATCGGACCTATGTTGATATAAAAAACAAATCTTATTTTTACGTTAGGAATCTCATCACGAGAGATGGCACATGTTTTTTGAAACACCCTGCATATTATTGAAAACTGGCTTGTTTATCAAAATGT